CTCCTGCATTCCCCTCCTACCCCAACTCCAAACCATAAACCGTATGTCCCCTACAAGAGTTGGGGGTGTCACCGCTACCGGAGAAGAGAGACAACTCACCAACATCGGAGGACAAGAAGCCCTGGCGGCCTAGCGCGGATTCAACGGTCTAAAATTTGTAAGATTTATCCTTAAATTTATGTCGAATGCCATTTAGCATTTCGGTAGATAATACTCCAAAATCGACTAAAGAAATTAAGTTTTTAATATATTTAAATTTTGGCAGCGGACGGAAGGAGCAACTGTTACCAAGGGGAATACAAAACGTTGGACCTACTCTGTATTTCGTATTTACTGATCATGAGCAGGGGATTGAAGCTGGGTCCAATACTACAGATGAGAACAAATTTTGCATTAAGGCGATGAACAGCACGGCGCTGATAAGAGGATTGACATTACAGTAGAAATCAGATCGAAATCACCTGGGACGAACAACATTACAGCGGGACACACAGAACGTTGGAGCTAATTTACTGGTGGCCACTGGGCAGGGAATTGAATTAAGCTGGGTCCGGTACTATAGATCCGGAACAAAATTTGTGTTAGGGCGATCAACGGCACGGTATTGATGAGAGGAGGAACGATATGATGAACATGTATTGCAGTACAGTAGCTGAATAATTTCGAAATCACCTGGGATATACCAGAAAACAGAGGAAGATAGCTACCTTAGAAAGAAGCTTTCTAGCTCAAGATCTTTTCTCACAGGGGAGGCATATGTGCTGGGTTTTCTTTTACCATTTGGTAAGGTTACCGCTATCTCGGCAGTATCACGGTTACCGGTAAAACCGTAAAGAACTGTGAGGTTTCAAAAACTTATAAATTTATCGTACATGATCACTACGATAACTGTAGGTAATCACGTGATATTGCAAACCCCAGGCATGTGTAGTTATCGCCTTGGGTGGTGGTCACTGGTTTGTGACTAATGGGGGCATATTACAGTTGCAGCTACCTAAAAAGTACCTTAAAAACACATTGATTTTTCACCTTAAACAAGGAAGGTAGACCGCGCATTCGCGCGGGCTTATATAGTAGATTGCGTTGCTTAAATAATTGTTTAATCTATTTGATAGATTTATACCGTATAATATTTAATTCATCCCTATAAGCAACATATATCTATAGTCTTTGTCATCATCTAAGATAATGTAGACTTAGTCTATTTAGAAAACATATATAATAAATTAAATGTAAATTAAAAAAAAGGTGTTTTTTGAAAAAAATAAATGTTTAGGGACTAACTTTTTTTTTTATCAAATCTGTTTATTTTCTACTAACACTTATGTTTTATTTGGCATAAACCTAACCCAGTTTACATTGATGCAACTTGTCACTTACAAATAAGACAGAGCATATTTCTGACTTAGAAAGAAGCTCTATTCCAATTTGATCATCACCTAAGCAAAGATGCCGAGACAAAAACAACAAAACCTCCATGATTCTAAAATTATTTTCATCAATCAAGGTGTTGATTGCATCACACTGTAAATATTTCGTGGAGTTACACCAAGATAATTTTTTTAGGTTACACCAATAGAAATTAATTTTGGCTAGTTGCATGCATGAGCTTATTCAACGATGCCCATTTACTCTTTACACAAAAGTCATTTGTTATATGATGATTATTTAAGGGAGATATAAAAAACTTGGATGAGATCAAACTGGCATGGAGGAACGATAATGGTGGGAGTAGTAAATATCAAGTTGTACATGTAGAGTTATGACCTGAACAGTTAATGCATCTGGAGTCATCTTAGCATGGAGTTATAATTTTTAGATTTTTTTTTCTAATGATAAAATAATTCATAAATTTAAAATTCGAAAAGTATGTGCTCTACTTGGAGTTACAATTTTAATTTTTCATGATTTTATAGTTTGGGAAGTACAACATATAAAAATAAAATTGTACTCATCTGTAACTCTCAATAGTAATATTTTATTAACTTGAGAACTTATTTTAAAATTAACAATTAGTAAGTTTTTATGATTTGGTGCCACTTAAATAGATGCAAACTTCAAAATTAGTAATAATAAGAAAGTGTCACAATTTATTACTTATATACAAGTAGTGCAAATTTGTTAGGTTACTGAATGACCACGATGTCGATCGTTTCATATCATTAACATGGAAAGAAGCAATTTGGAAGTTCATGATGTCGTTTCATATCAGAAACATGAAAAGAAACAAAACTTGGATGTTGGAACGGAAATTTTCTTTGAAAAAAACAGCAACAATAGTTTGCAAATTTCAGTTTGGATCAAATCTTAATTGATAAAATAGTGCCGGAGTGGTAGAAGTTGGGGGACGCGAGAGTCTGGTTGACATCAACGGACTCATGGTTATGGTTGCCCTTGTAGCCGATCATCTAGGGCAACTGGGCAGGCCGATCGCCGGTGAAAGAGATTGACGTGCCTAGTCAATGTTTCATGGTGCGTGCAGAACCCTGCTGCTTGGAGGAGTGTGTTGGTTTGTGATTAACTCATGCCCCATCGCGCGTAAGAATCGTGGAGTGTGTTACTTTTTTATAGATCTAAAGCGATTAGCAGGCAAGGAGGATCACATATGGATTAACTTTTTTTCTCACAAATTTAATCTAACCATGCAAAATAACGGGTCCACCGGTTTAACTGAAATCTAAGGGCTAGATATTTTGCTTTTTTTTTTAGAATTTCTAAGAATTTATCTAATTTATTAGAGCGCCACTTGGCGGCTTAGGAGCGTTTATAGGACGCTTAATGGACTTTTAGTATATAATAGATAGATAGATAGATAGATAGATTTTGAGGCTCGATATATGTAGGATATATATAAACAATACTTACACTCACCGACCAATTACTAGCTACTTCTTATAATCTAAGGCCACCACGACCATTGAAGGTTGTCTTGTGAAGAATTAATTTGTCGTCATTTTTTAAGGATGAGTAGTTTAAGTTATTGCGCGAAACGTTCACATTTCTCTCTGTATTGTTAAATCTTAGGCTTCCTCTGGAATCGGAGGATCTCGTGGGAATTTTAAAGCAAATAAACTGTTTTTTTTTCCTAAAGTCATGTGTTCCAATAAAGCCCTTAGGGAACCTTTGGAGGCAAATATTTTGAAAATGCGGGAACGGGAAAAAACACAATATCATGGTGTCTCACCTTGCAAATTCCTATTGGAACTAGAAACGCACGAATGTCCTAACTAGTTGTTCGAATGGTGCACTGGAGGTAAGCCTTATGTTTGTTTTCCTCCAAAATGCCAAAAAATAACTCATTAATTCCATCGGATTTCCAAAGGAATTTCGAGGCATCATATCCTCTGCTCCAAATGACTTCATAGGAATTTTACTCGAGGATTCAATTCAACTCATTCACCCTTCCTTCGTTCTAACAGAGAGCCCTTAAATGCTGGGGCTGAAGCAATATCATGAACAATTCCTGTTCGCCATGAGATGTCGGATACTGCCCAAAACTGTAGATAGGCATACATGTAGCTCAGTTGTAGTCAGGAAATACAGACAGTGTTCATCGTCTGCCATGTACTCCCTTATAAAAAAAAATTTAATCTACATAGGGATGCGGCCTCTCATAATACAACAAATCTGGACACTCGTTCTAAATTGAGTTTATTTTAGGACCGGGAAAGTACTGCTACGTTTATTTTGAGACGGGGGTGTATTGGTACTAGTTACCAGCCTACTCCTTCCGTCCTAAATATACCAATTCAAAGTTTGAATATGGACATACACTATGCCCAGATTTAAACTCTTTGATTGAGTTTTTTTTAAGGACGGAAGGAGTACGTGTGTGTGTACACTATTGTGTGAACGAATGATGATCAAATACAATGGCTTGGACGGCCATGGAAATGATGAGGGATCGATCGATGTGCACTATTGCTACCAGTGACGACGATTCTTTTGGCTTTTTAGCGTACGTGACCACCAAACATCGATCGTTCGTTGCAGTACGTACCACTAGCTAGGTAGCGCCCCTATATGTTTGGAACCTCGCGCGTAAATGTAATGGAGCATCTATGACAAAAGAGGAGTTGGAGCAGTGATACAGGGAGTACAGGCTACAGAGCTGAGAGTTTTGCTTTTAGCTCATCGACGATCACCTCTAATGTCCTTGCCGGAGCCTGAAAGGCTGGACGCACTAAGAAAAATATTATTTCGTCCGTCTTAAAATATAGCGAACTATTATTGGATTAGATATGTTTAGAGCTTTAAAAAAAACTCGAGGCACGTGAGCTGCTCGAGCTTGGCTCATTCTAGCCTCGATTTGAGCTCCAGACGAGCCGAGCCCGAGCGTCTCCCTAAGCTAGCGAGCTTCATCGAGCCGAGCTCGAGCTTCCAACGAGTCTAGTAATATATGATTTTTGTTGTTATTTAATAAATTAGGAGATCAAATATGTTATTTGTATGTCTTATATTGACATCATATATTTATTTTATTCTTTTCTCCTCATCTATTAATATGATGAACTAGAAGTTAATTATTTTTTAAAAGATTATCTTTGAAATATATATTGTTTTACTTTAAAATCAAGCTCGGTAGTCGAGTTTGAGCTTGATCGAGCTCGAGCCGAGCCTATCGGAAAGCTCAAACATCGAGCCTAGGCAGACGAGCTCGCTTGAGCTCGGCTCGTTGACAGCCCTAGATATGTTGTATCGTAGTAATGTACCTAATCGAACCTTTAAGCTACTATATTTAGGACACATGAAATAATAAATAATGTAAAAGGAGGACAATCTACTTTTCAATGTGTCGATTTTTTCTAATCTTTCGATCACACAAGAAGTACTTGTATGCCAATCCTTTTTCCTGCATAGAAGCAAAGAATGTTCTAAGAAAGATTAAAGTTTACACTTTGGCGTACATCGTTAACAATATAAGAAACAAAATCTACATAAACATGAAAAACTAAAGTTCTTTGTATATGCTCTTTATTTTTCACCCCACCTTGTATATTCTAGAGTTCCCAATTTTGCTTCATTTTCTACGTAGCTGGGCCATGATGACGTAAGGCCTTCCTGCCTTCCATGCTTTTCCGATGGGTCACGGCCCACTTCTCTTCGTCGGCCCAGTATCGTCCCTTTCCTCCCACCTCCGCGCCGCCCAGTGCCTCGCCGCCCTCGCCGCGAGAACCCCCACCACCGCCGCTCCGCTCGCCGGCGAGCTGCCGGGGAACTCCGGCGAGGAGGAGGAGGACGAGGGGTAGCGGAGACGACGTGGATGTCCGCCGCGGGATACCGGTACCAGGCGCTCAAGGAAGCCCTAGCCGCCGCCATCTCCGGCCACGACCTCGCCCGCCACCACGCCGCCGCCGACCACCGCAGGCCGCACGCGCTCGCCGTCGTAGCAGGGCTCGCCTCCAACGGCTACGTCGCGTCCCTCCTCGTCTCCCGCTACTTCCGCCTCGGGGACGCCGGCGCCGCCCGCAATGTGTTCGACGCCGCGGCGACGGCGGCGGCGCCGCAGAAGGCGCTCCTCTACAATGCCATGCTCCGCGGGTACCTCGCGGGTGGCCTCCCGCGGATGGCGGTGGGGATCTTCGGGGAGATGGCGGCGGCGGCGTGCCTTCCCGACCGCCACACGTACCACCTCGCCGTGGCGGCGTGCGCGCGGGCGTCGGAGTTCGAGGTCGGCTGGCGTATCGGGGCGGAGGCCGCTGCGAAAGGGTTCGCGTCCGACCTCCTCGTCGCGACGGCGCTGATCGGGATGTATGCTGAAGCTGGGGATATGGGCGCCGCTCGTAAGGTGTTCGATGGAATGCCACAGCGGGATGCTGTGGCGTGGAATGCGGTGATTGCTGGCTATGCACGTGGAGGACATCTGCGCGAGGTCGTCGAGCTGTTTATGAGGATGAGGTCTGTGGATGTTGTGCTCCCGACTGAGGCGACACTGGTGACCCTAGTTTCTGGTTATGCAGGTTTTGGTTCCTGGGAGGGCCGTGGTATGATGCACACCATTGTAATCAAGCTTGGCTTCCAGCTTAATCTCTTTGTTTCCAATGCTCTCCTTGATCTGTATGTCGAGTTTGGCTGTTTGAGAGAGGCTGTGATGTTGTTTCGTCAGATGGCGGTGAAAGATTCTGTCACTTGGAGTGCAATGATTGGTGGGCTTGTTCGGAATGGAAGACCGGATTCCGCTCTTAAGCTATTCCGTTGGATGGTGACAAACTCGACAGTTTTGGTCACTAGGTCTATTTTGCTCAATGTGATTATGGCCTGCGCTGAGTTGGGGGAGTGGAGAGAAGGAAAATGGGTTGAAGAGAACTATGTGTGCTGCAATGGTTTTGAATTCAAGAGAGATCCATCTGTGGTAACAGCGTTAATATACATGTATGCAAAGTGCGGAATGTTAGATTCATCAGTCAGTCTTCTATATGGGGTTGCAGAAGTTAGAGATGATGTATTTGCATGGAACGCTATGATCAAAGGGTGTGGAGAGCTTGGACTAGTGGAAAAGGCAGTTGGATTTGTAGTAGAAATGCAGAAGATAGGCGTTGATCCAGATGCTATTACATACTTGGAGATCCTACCTATGATCTCATCAATTCCATCACTGAAAACAGGGATGGAAGCACACGCTCAGATTGTCAGAAGAGGTTTCCTGAATGAAAGGGCAATTGCTAACTCACTTGTTAGCATGTATGGTCGATGCGGGAGCCTTAGGCATTCAATTGAAGTCTTTAGCAGGATTGTGGTCAAGGATGTAATCTCTTGGACGTCTATGATGCAGGTATATGCGTGGAATGGACATGTTAATGAAGTTGTTAAACTTTATGAGGTGATGAAGAAAACAGAAACAGAACCAAACCACTACACTTTTCTTGCTGTACTATCTGCATGTAAAAACACAGGTCTTGTTGAGGAAGGAATGGAATTGATCAAGTACATGCAAGAGAAGTGTGGCCTAAAACCAGAAATTGAGCATATTTCTTGTGTTGTTGATATGCTCTGCCGTGCAGGACGTTTGACTGATGCATACCACCTTATTAAATATAATAATTCTGAACACATTAACAATACAATATTGTGGGGGACGCTGCTAAGCGCTTCCCGTTCATGTGGAGATTTGGTGATCGGAGAAGCAGCAGCCAAACATCTCTTATCTCTTGATCCAGAAAATAGGGCCAACTCTAAGATGCTTGCTGATATTTATGTCTTGCTTGGGAGAAGGGATGACGCTGACAATCTCCTAAGAGTATCGATGACAAGAGGATTGGACATAAAACCAGGCTGCAGCTGGATGGAAGGTGTCTAACTGTCTAAAGCTTGCAAATTGCAATACATGTAGAAGGTATAATTAAATATGATTAAGCCACTTTATTTCTCAATTTTATGCATGGTTTGATATTATTCTCTTAGATGTTTTGCATTTCTGTAATTTACTTTTGTTTCTTTGAGAAATCTGTAATGTTGCAAAAAAAGAATTGATGTGGGAAAAGTTGGGGGCTTTCAAGTTGGTCTTGTTGGTACCAATACCATACATTTGTGTTTACAGTTTCTTTTCAAGATTGCAATTTTTTAAAGTATCAATATATAGTAAGATATTTCTGCAGAGGTTCTAACATTTTTGAAGCCTAGTGAGGCCTTGACCTGATTATTGTATATAAGGTTGGAAATTAGCTAGGTGCCATACTAAGTGTATCACTTGCAAAATGGCACCACCACCCCACAAGGCTCCTAGTTGAATATCATGCAAAAGTGAACAGCTAGGAATGTTGTGTTTCTCCTGTTTCTTATTTGTTAAATCGTTCTTTCAATAAGCTAATTTGCAAAAAGTACTGCACATATTTGCATCGTTCTTGAACTGACTTTGAAGTATTAGGTTTTCCTTTTTACAATCAAATATCATGATTCGTGCAGATTATCTTGTACAATATAAAACTGGGACAACCTGGAGCTTCATTAGATTTGCACTTGTAATGACATTCATGTAGGATGTGGCTTGGCTTGGGTTTCATCTCTAACCTCCAACTTACTTGGGGTTAGGCTATTGTCTTTGTTAACAACATAGAATTTCCTTACTTTTAGCCCCATTTGGAATACAGGACTATTTCTAGAATTTCAGGAACTAGCGATAAAAACTGGCCTTCTCAATGGTTGTTGAATTCTGCGTACACCATTTGTTATACTGAACCAGCAATCCTAATGGAGACTATAGTTATGTAGTACATTCAGTCAGGACCTTATCTGAATCTTTTGGAGAACAACTAAAGCCAATACCCAATAGAGTTATGAAAACAGATCATGCATCAGGAGACAAAGAACAATAATGCGGAAATCTTGTGAAGAATAAACTAAAGCCAGTAGAGCTACGGAAACGATCATGCATCAGGAGACAAAGAACAGTAATGTGGCGCACGATCCCCTTGTCAGTAGCAATGGTTATCCCTGTCATGATTTTGTTGTGACATTTGAATTCTTTATGTGAATTTATCCTGTAAGTGCTCTAGGTCTCAAAAAGTGGTTTCATCAGTGTGGTAGATCCCAACTATTTTTTTTCTACAATATGTTAAAGTTGTGTTACTTTATACAATTTTGGTCAAGTCTGTCATAATTGGTGTACCAATGTCTCCAGAATCAATATGTGAGATAGCTACTTTCTTTTGGTATTTGCTAGAACCATGGACCTCTCTGGAGGTGCTGAATCATTTTCTTTTCCAACTTAAAAATCCCGCAGGTCTGGCATTGCAATCTTGGTTTTGGTTTTTTTTTTGTACAAAATGCAAGCTGATGAGAAGTACATGTAGATATGTTCAGTTTCCCCATTTCATACTAATATCCTGATGTAGTGTGGAGAATGGTTTTCTGACATATATTTATGAGTTAGGCACTGTCCTATATGTCCCATATGCCTCGATAGTCATGCAAACTTTAAAAATTGCCATCTCTAATAATTTCAATGTCCCTGCTCAAATCTTTTAGCACATTGGGTGGATGAGACAGTGCATAGACAGCCATATACATATATAGAATTCTATTTTCCTCAAAATACTTAGTGACAAATAGAATATTTCCCCTAATAACTGATAGTGGATCGAGAGTTATATCAGTTAGAGTTTTAAAATAAATTCTTTTAGAGGAATCCGTGCATTATAATTTTCGTCCATGAAATAGTACTTGGTTTCCACTCACATCTTTCTGTAATTAACTGAAATTTTCTACAATTACAGTAATAAATAGAATATGTCTCTGCAAGGGGTGCATCGATTTAATTTATCTGATTAACATTAGAACTTTTTGAAATCGGCAACTCCATGCCCCGCTTTCAATGCTCTTCAATTCCTCTTTTAACAACATATGGAGTAGATGTACCTTAAAATGGTTACTGTTGGGCCTTTCATTTCCTCTTAGATTACTTTTGGATTACAATGAAGAGTGTATGTTCCAAACATGCTGGTGTTGTGGGCAAAAACAATGATGGTGCTAATTTTTTTTCCAAAGGAATAAAGGAAATGGAGCTTAAGGCATTTTACTGATTTGAAATCTATCTATTGATAATTTCTTTCAGATCAGATGGAGCAATTCACACCATGATTCTGCTTTGCGACGCCTGCATATACACGAAGTAAAAAGTATGAATATAGAGGAGTGTTGATTGAATCCATGAAGGTGCCTCAGTGCGGAATTCCTTACATTTTGTCCGGAAGCATGGCTGCTTCAATGCAGGGTCATCTTCAGGAGGTTGCTGTCCAAATATCATCTCACAGCTCATGTCTTCAAAATCTGAAGAATAAATATATAGTTGATGTAAGTAATTATGTTACATTTCTCTTGATACATTCACTATTATCTTTAGGGACTCTGCTTTATTCTCGTTTTTATTGACCTAGTATTGGAAAAAACCTTCTTGCTTAATTGGAAATAAGCTGTATAGGACTATTTAGTAGCACTGGCAGTAAATAACATTCATTGCTTACTCCTAGATCTAACCACTCGACAGGATAAAAAGGAAAGAGAGCCTTGCAAATTCCAACAGAGGTTGATATCTGATTCTGTGGGGTGATGTCATAAAATATCAGTATCTTTTGACCTAGAAAAAATGATTGATGTTGAAATATTCAGTGTATCACCATAGAAGACTAACATTCAAAACTAGTGCTTCTCATAAGTGAAATTGAACCATATTGCTCTGATTATCGAGACATGCTGGCTCGTCACTGCCATGTGAAGGTGCTTGTACTGTATTTTCACAGCACTACATTGTGGATTTCTGGATTTCACACTACTGTTCCACAACTTGTCCATGCAATTTGCCGTTTCCCACTAAGAATGACAAGTAGGGGCTAGCACTTTCTTCTTCTGTACAACTTGCTTGTGATTGCTTTGTACTCCCTCCGTTTTTTAATGTATGACGTTGTTGACTTTTTGACAAACATTTGACCATTCATCTTATTCAAAATTATTGTGCAAATATAAAAAAAATTTAAGTCATGCTTAAAGAACATTTGATGATAAATTAAGTCACAATAAAATAAATGATAATTGCATTTTTTTTTGAATAAGACGAATGATCATATATATCTAAAAAGTCATCGACGTTATAAATTAAAAAACGGAGGTAGTAACCTGCAAACATGTTGGCCCCACTTCAGCCCTTTCTGTTTCCTGAATGGTGGCCAGTGGTTCCCATACCCAAAAAGGGCACAGTCCTCAGATTGTCGGTAGGTAGAGGTGGCATGAAATTAATATGTCAAATTAAGTTCTGTATTTCTCATAGCTCTAAACCGTTGGTGGTCTATGGACCTATTACATTGATTCAACTTTACTTCACTAATTCTGCTTAAAGTCGAAAGTTGATATTTTGAGTTCACTTATGTTTTAGCGGCAGTCCGTATAATGATCCGCTATAGTAAAATTAGGTCAATGTCCTGAGAAGTTAGAGGCACACCAGGTTTCAACCCAAATTTTCAACTTTGAGATGATGTTGATATGACAATCCATTATTAGTTTCTTGCCAACTTTATGCAAAGGAATGGAGTTTGATTATTTTTACCTTATTCTACCAAATTATATTTAAGTTGTTGTGTTTACCCACTGATATTCAGGCTTTCCTGATGAATCAGAGCAGAGGAAGCTTACTGGGAGACATGTAGACCTTCATGCCAAGTGAATCTTGGATGAACTTCTGGCATGGAATCTTGCAAAGGTTTGTGCACATACCAACACAATTTGTACTTTCCAGAAATCTGCCACAAATAGGATTGGAGATTAAAAAAAAAGAAAAGAAAAACAGCAACACCAGTAGAAATCCTGTTCTTCAGTATTTATGTATTTTTAAGGTGGTTCTTCAGTATTTATTGATATATCTGCACTTAAAATTCTATTTTTTTCTTAACCCAGTGTTAATCATGGTAGTTTGTCTAACGTGGGTAGAATTGATAATAAGCAGCTTGTGGAGTGTGAGTAGGATTGTCAGTTGCCACAATTACGACGTTGACAATACAACTTGTGTCCCAGCCATAGTTCTTCAATTTGTTTTTCATGAGTGGATTAACTTGAGTAAGAGTTGACATACTGCAACAATTCATTCAGAACTAATTGATGGCTGCAGAGTCATATGTTAATTGCAAATCATCAGGTTACTACTTATAGACCTGAAAATTTTTGTAGTCTGCCTATGAAGAGCTGGGAGTAGGAAACCGTTTGACCGATATGTTACGTGATACCCAGCAGTTGAAGAAATTTTCTTTACAAATGTTCCTCCTAGTCAAACTTGTGAAACAATTTCTTGATGATGATTGAATTACCTGCATTTGGGGATATATACCACGTTTTTCTCTTTCCTTCCTTCAACTTCAGATTCCATAACCTTTGTTCAATGACAGAATGATCACTCAGAAGACAAGTTATCCATACAAGGGCATTTATTCCATACTTTATATGATATTTGCACCACAAATGCTTCGTACAACTACTTTAAACAATGTAATGTCCTGAAAACAAAGAGATATTATATGTCGCAACCTACATTCAACAGCATTTTAAGATCTTCTGTAGCAATATTTCTCAAATTAACGTGTGGCTTCGTATCAATTCATTCTGCAGGGCTACCTTCAGCAGAGGCACAATCATGAATTCATTCTTGTGAAGACGCACTAATCAGGTATCAGGCAGCTATTCCTTTCTGAACTGAAGTAACAAAAGGAGGAACTGTGTATGTAATATATACCTCACACGGCCCAACCAACCAAGGAAAAAATATCGTGGTGAATGCAGCAAAGTACTCCCTGGAAAATCTTGAAGGTGGCATCATCACCTTGATCTGCCGACAGAATTCTCAATCAAAGTTGAGGTAAGAAATAAAAGAAGAGAACTTTTAAAGTTTCCTCCCTTTACAGAAGTTCTGTATTTTCCTCAAAAAAAAAAGAGAGAATAAATGCTGAATTTTACTTCCTGTTCAAATAAAAAAAAGTTTTAGGTTTTTTAAATTTCAATAATTCATACATGATTGCCAATTGTCATGGATTATGGTACTTACCATTGTGAGGATGTAGCTTGGAAGTGCTCTTTCAAGAGCTTGGGTCACAATCTCGCTTTGTTTATCCAGACTGAAGATTCTTGAGATGGCTAGGGCGGCATCTATCAGGCTCTCGTAGCCATCCTTTTCATTCTTTAGCCCTGCATTACATTGCATGCATGTTCGTGTCAGTCAGCAAGTGCTACAAGTTCCTTTCAGGGAATCAACCTTTGCAGTTAATTTGCACCTGAACAACACCAAAAAAAAACTCAGGACTAGTGAACATCGGTTTCCTGTATGCTTTCAAGTTTCTCTTATATGCTTAATTACCCATACTAGAAAAGTAGCATTCTGTGTCTGTTGGGAACTTTTCTGGTTTGTCTGTATGATTGACTTTGCTAAACATGTAAGAGAGCCAAGGAGGTGACGGATGTAGTGGATGCTACAGTGTTAATGAAGTCCAAACAGTCCTGTAAATATAATTATGTTGTCTGTGCAGGGTTTACAAAACCGTCAGTTATCGCGGTTATCACATACGATAACCTTATTAGTTTTTGGAACCACGACGCACCTCGTGATAATTGCCAAACCATGGAGTGGCAGTAACCTCACTTCAAACGGTTTGGTAAACCCTGGTTTGTGCACTTTTTTTAAGTTGTTCCAAAATAAATGTCTTTAAAAAAATTCAAAAACCAGCATCGATTATAGTAAGCGGCTGAATTTCTAGAAGAAGAACCGGGCACGTACATGTGATGTTTGACCTTCGCATTATTCAGATAAGTTTATTCGATCAAAGTAAAAAGTCCACGGGAAAACAAACGAAAGGATTAGATTCAAGCACTAAAAGATTCCTAGAATGTGAACCTCACATTTTCACGGATCAACGGTTGACCTCTCGTAGTTGCTTGCTTATATGCTGCTGATCATGCACTTCCGCTTAATTTATTCGTCAAATAATGTGTTATTACTGTGTATTACTACTACTAAATGTGACCATTCACCTAATTAAGAAGCTTCTGGTATCCCTTTTTGCACTGTAATTTTTACTGTTGTGGTATATATGTCTTCTATGATTTTTGTTATCTTCTTCTGCCAATTGTGTCACACTGACTTTAATCGATGTTGGGTATATGTCAATAATTAAGCACTAGGTTTGTCTGGTACAGTAACAATAATCAAATTATGAAATACGGCCGTACTTGATGTACGTGCATATATATAGTACGTCGATACTTAATTAGGCCGGAGAACACATCACATCTCACATGCATAGGCTTACGTGATCATCAGCAACTCAATAAATAAATTATTCTTTTGCATGTAAAAATCAAGAGCTAATTCAATTATAATATGACAGAAAGCATGCAATTGCAAGTACACCCACGCTGGCCAAAGCAACATGTAATAAAAAAAATCAAAGAATTTATGTTCCACATGGACGAGAAGGGTATTAATAACCAAACGATAAGAAGAAAAGGATGATCGTAGAATACACATATAATTTAATTGTCACAAAAATAACTGAAGAACATTGGTTTATTCACCATATATATGTTATTTCTTCCACTCAAAAAATCAAATCAGCCATGGCAAAAACATCATAAATACACACATATATGCATGCATGGTTGATTTGATCATTCATTAATTCATCCGAAAGATTGCATGTACATGCACACAATACATCAGATATATTCAGTAGATTATAGGCACGAACCAGAAGCTTCTTGAAGGTTCCTGGACAGGTAACCAATGGCGAGCTTGTCGAACCAGCTGTCCCGGTACACCGTCGCCGGCGGCGCCGCCGCCGTCTCCGTCTGCACCGTCGACATCATCGCCGCCGTCTCCGTCTTCTTGGCCGGCGCCGACGCCGGCGCCTCTTGCGGCCTCGCCATGACCGCCCTCACCGTCGAGCAACACCTCCTCATCACGTAGCTTCGCTTCGCCGTTGCCGCTGCCGCCGGCCGTACGCCGCCGGCGCCGCCATGAGGAAGAAGCAGCACAAGCGTGGTGGTCTCCATGAAGAGAGAGAGAGAGAGAGAGAGAGAGAGAGAGATTTGTAGGTGAAGACTAGCTAGAGAGAGATTAGTATATTTGTAGGTTGAAAATGGAAAGAAGTTATGGGAGAGAGGAAGGTTTATAGAGAGAAGTGGAGAGAGAGAGAGAGGGTCATGCAATTTGCAAGGAGGGAGAGAGAAGAGACCAAATGGCATGGAGAGGGCATCTTGGTTGTGGTGGGAATAAGGAATCAAAGTGTCTAATAATTATGTTTTTATTAAGGTTGATAGTTAATTAGTATGTTGATAGCTAATTGGAATATACCCCCTCAGTACTCCGTACTCGTAAAAGAAATCGTTTAGAACAATGTTTAAGTCAAACCTTAGGAATATAAATAATAAATAACTCTCAAGTTGTTGAGTTTGAAAATGTGAAAATTATATGAATAGATTTTTCTTGAAAAATACTTTCATAAAAGTATACATATATCACTTTTTAATAAATATTTTTATAAAAACAAGAAGTCAAAGTTATATTTTGGAGACCGTGTCACTGTTCAAAACGACTTCCTTTTACGAGTACAGAGGGAGTATATATATGGACAAGGAGCTGTCCATCTCTAATGGGCTTTGGTTTTTATTGATGCTTCCTTCTTTTAATTGGTCAGCTGGCGAAAAGATCCAGGCAGCTTGGTTAGATATTTTAATTAACATTCTCTACATGGAGTGAGTTTTTTTTATCCAATCTTGTGTCAACTTGGAATGAAGTATTAATCAGTGTCGTCCAAGATAATCGCGTAACTAACTATAATCTCACTAGTAAGACAAAGCTTTGTTCACTCTCAAGTCTCAAGTATATTCTTAGTTAATTCGCTCCAAGTCTGTCTGAACTATCTCGAAGTTATAGTATCATAGTTTATTCCTAGTTTCATTAAGTTGAACAGTACCAACTTGGTCTGAACCATCTGGATATAATGCCATATAGTTTAGTTTTATTATAATAAATCAAATTGCACTATCTATCTATTGGGATTTAATTTGGACTAGCACTAATTTTTAGCGACTGAAATGAGCGAACAGTAAAATTATAGTGGCAAAATTATTAATGAGTTACATTTTTTCCCCTCTGAAAAGTTAACCCTAATTAAACTTTGTTCCACAAATAGTTTCACTCTCCCCGCGTTATTTGAATTTTGCCACCACATTTTCTATGAAAATGTCTGTGAAAAAAAAAAAAAAAGCTCTCATGCCATGGCATGGCATCGGCATTTTTTTTCTTCAATATGGTATCGACTTCACATTACCAATGTTCTTAGTCTTAATAGAGTCATTCTTGTCAATTGTCTTACTACAATTGTGAACCGATGGATGGAGTATTTCAATATAAACACTTCAATTGTTTTAAATAATGTGAAATACTATCATTTGGACATAGGTGCAAACGAAGCTATCATCAAACAGTAATTTCTGTATAGCACCTGGTAAGAGGGAAACAGATCATCTGCAGTGCACAGTGTCTCGTTAGGCCGTTTTTGACCGTCCGATCTGCAGTAACCGACAGATTAGATTATGTGGATGCTTCGAGGAGCTTTTTTTTTCTTTCTTGTAAGCCGTCGCCGCTAGACTCTAAAATTCTCTTAGACGTGTCTTCCAATCCAAAAGAAGAAAATCTCAACACAATTAGCCGAAAACAAAACAGTTTGGAAAAGTTCAATGTCTTCAAAAAAAAAGTTTGGAAAAGCAATGTATGGTTCCACTCTGGTTTAAATTTTAGTGCCTACAATCTTACGCATAAATATGAGTTTTTATTAGATATTTAGCCAAATAAGAGATTTACCATTAACCTCCATCTTTTCAAGCAAGTGTTGTATGCGCGTCTTTCGGGTAATAGGAAAAGAAAAAACAATAGAATAGTTTGCGAAAAAGTTGGGACAATCTGGGAGCATTACACAAATATGCTATTGCCATCATCAATTCTGATAGTGGCATCTTATCAGAGGCAACCGTCGGCAGCTGCATTTCGTTTGTACTGCAAACGAAAACAATGCGTGCAGCAACGGATTGAAATACTCCCCCTTTGACGCGAGTCACTAAAATATGGACCCTCTAATCCTCTATCCAACGAGCCCACATGTCAGTAACTCAAAGTTAGAGGAAAGTAAATATGAGTTCTCTAATCCTCTATCCAACAAGCCCACATGTAAGTAACTTAAAGTCAGAGGAAAGTAAATAAGAGTTGGAGAGAAATAAGTAAGGATCCTCTTCCGTGCAGCAACGCTCCCGGCCAGTGAGCGAAGGTAGGCTCAGCATTGCTTGCTTGCTCGGCCAGCATTTTGCAATTCTGCATCCTGCAAATCCAAAGTGGCCAGGACAGAAGAACAAGTTAGTACACCACAGTACCACCTGGAGGTGACATGTCGCCGCACTAAAAGAAATGCAGTTCACTTTATAAAAAGCTTTTGAGGAGTATGCAGAAATATCAAAACTCTGAATTTCAAGAATTGCGCATAAGAAAACTTTCAAGGAGTATATGCAGAAATATCAAAACTCTGAATTTCAAGAATTGCGCACAGGAAAATGATGTGTGTATATCATCAGAGAATATGAGAAAAAAAATGGAGCAACTTGTAGTTGATTGCGCACAAATTTGATCTTTTATATTTCAGATTGGTAGGGAATACAGACATGGTTTTTTTCAGACATGTGAGACATAAATAAACACTGAAGTGGTAGCAGCAGCAGCAGCAATAACAAACACAACCTGCCAGCTCCAACAAATCCATGGAAATACAGGCGCTATGGGTCAGCTTGTTGTGGCCTTGCCGGCGACTTTCTGAGCTATCCAGCCGAGCCCGTCGTAGAGGCCCTCACCGGTGATCGCGCATGAGGCCTGTATGTGCCAATCGTGGTTCTTTATGCTGTGGAGGGAGAGAGCGTCGGTGATCTCAGCTGGCGACATGGCGTCCTTGAGATCCTGCTTGTTTGCGAACACGAGGACTACTGCGCCCTCGAGGTCCCCATGCTGAAGCAGCCGGAAGAGCTCATCCTTGATAATGTTGATCCGAGCACGGTCTGTGCTGTCAATTACAACGATGACAGCATGGGTTCCTCTGTAGTATGTTGCCCACGAAGTCCGTAGACTCTCTTGTCCTCCTAAATCCCACACCTGGTTCAATAAGAATTTCAGTATCAATAACACTGGCATGGAAAAAATGTCCCAGAAGATTGACAATATGGTAAATAAATTATGTGGCATGAAAAAAATATTTGTCGATAAGTAACATGATATTAGATATATGGAATCAGGATTCAAGCAAGCCACAGAAGATTGTTCCAGGAAAGAAGTGAATTTCATGTCTCTGTGATTTCTGACAAGTATTGGGTATTTGGGTGACTAACTGAAAGTCTGAAAACACTAAGCAGCTACCTTTCCTTTTGAGAAAGCCTACAGTAGCATGTGAGGTATTATAAGCCTTATCAAGAAAACATGGAAATGCAAACATCGTAGCGCTTGTATCAGTATACTGTGCAGGACTGCAGGCAAATAAAAATGTTATTATGTGATTTTGCTGTACAAATACAGCAACATGTACGGTGAATCTGTGATGGAAACTAGACTATGGAAGAACAAGAATATACATGCAAACTTACAAAGCCGAAAGGTATCAACAATAGCATGCAAACTCTTAAAGCAAAGGGATACATTTCGATAGCTTCCTGTGTTGGTTCACTCAACTGGTTACTAAACTACACCATCGATTAATTGCATACAGAGTTCTCTTCTTTTCTTTAAAGAAAGGTATATCTTTGATCTATCTGATTACACCTACCTGGAGCCAGGAATAAAGGCGACAACAAAGACTGAACCCAGAAAAAAAATGTGAATGCAGCATGCCATTCCTTACAACAATTATTACAAGAAAGTACCAGGCAACATTTTATTGACAATGACGCATATCGATTTTTGTTTAATTGTTTGTTACTTTGCCTTAGATGGACCTTGATAGTGCTTAGCTCTTTCTTATAGGACAGGAAAGATGGTTTGTCCCAGTGTAAGTTTGGAATCCACAATGGCTTCACTCCTAGTATACATGTTACATTTCTCAGAGTGTATATGAAAAGCCCAATTCTTTTATTGGTCCAACAGGGTAATTGGCCTGTTGTCCTTAAGAAATGACATGCTGCTACTTGGGTAGTGTAGAGTACTATGTTGAGCCAATCTCTATATCCTATGAGGTAAAAGGATGAACATTTGCTCATTCATAAACACCCAAAATGATTTAAGTCTAAAACTAGAGATGAACATGGTTTTTACAGGGTGAATCCAGTCCTTAACAATACCGGAAAAAGAGCAATGATGAAACAGCAAAAAGGAATTACAGTTTATCTTGATGGAATACCACTAGACTAGATGAAGCAAACCGCGGCTACCGGATATGCCTTACAACAACACACAATTCTCATCTGCTATGTACCTCACTCGCTGTCCTGAACAAATTCAGAGGTGGATTGAGCGACAAAAGCTATCTTGGGGCCAGGCTAATCAAGTATATCAAAAGAAACTACGGATTATTAAGACTCAATCATTTTTCTTCCTTTCCCTCTACCTCTTGAGCTTAATTCTTCTTATCATAAAAAAATAATCATGTTTTGACCATGATGTTCATATCTCAAAGCATATATGACAAGCCTAATTTTCCTATTGGTCCAAAAGGGTTAGTGGCCCCATTATCGAAAAAAAACAGGGTTATTGGCCTAGGTTTATTGGCTGAGCAATGCCCAATTCCAGAAAGACATGCTGGCGTGCTGCTGCTTGGGCAGTTGGGCTAGTGCAGAGACAATGTTGAGCCGATTTCTATATTCTATATTAAAGGTAAAATGATGAATTTTTGCTCATTGATAAGTGATAACACTCAACATGATTAGATCTAAAAGTAAAGATGAAGTGATGAACACATTTTTTTACAGGGTATTGTTACAGTTTGTGTTGATGGACTACTACTAGATTAGATGGAGAAACCAAAATTATCGGATAGACACTACAATAGAAGAACTCTCATCTACTCTTTACCTCACCGAATCTCCTCAGGAAATCGAAAGGTGGGAATTGAGAAACAAACGTTGAAACATATCTTGATCTGAGGCACCCAGCGTCTCTCAAAAAAAAAAAAAAAACTACAGATTACATCAACAAAGAATCTTTTTCTTCTTCCTTCCTCTCTCTACCTCTTCTTGAGCCTAATTCTTTCTTACCAACAAAAACTACGTTTTGACCATGATTACCGACTACAACTACTACTACATGATTGTGCCGCAACCACCACCACCACCGAGCAGCAAAGCAGCAGATCGGCGACAGCTACCCTGTCATTAGTTAGATCAGGCGGGGGCCTGAACTTGGCAAGAGAGGAGAAGAAAGCAAAGAGAGGGGAGGGGAGGAGAGGTGAGACCTCGAATCGGATGTTCTTGAAGACGACCTCCTCGACGTTGCTGCCGATGGTGGGTGCGGCGGTGACGGCCTCCCCGAGGTGGAGCTTGTAGAGCGTGGTGGTCTTGCCGGCGTTGTCGAGCCCCACGACGACGATCTTGTACTCCTTCGCCGGGAACATCAAGAACCACACCCGCGACATCCACGCCCCCATCTTGTCCCTCCTCCTCCTCCTCCTCAAACAACCAAGAGAACGACGAATCTGAATCTCGCGCCGCGGCGGCTGGCGGCTGGTGGTGGATGGATCTCCGCGGGAGGAAGTGGACTGCGAGTTTGGGGGATCGGATCGGCGATGGGGGTGGAGGAGGAAGAACAAGAGGAGGTCGGATTTGGAGGAGGAAAGGTGAGAAGGGAATTGGGTGTGGATATTCGTGCTCGTGTCGTGTGCGAAGCTTTCCTCTCATAGCTGGCCGAGGGTGAAGGCGGCGAGAGGGAGTTGGGCTGGGCCTTCCATGGGCTTGGGCTGTGGAAGTAGACATGGTGAGTGAGCCGCCACTAAAAGAAATAAGTCTATTTTGCATCCCTCAGCTCTTGCCCTTGGTTTAATCGCATCCCTCGACCACAAAACCGGGTATAATACATCCCCAAATTTCAAAAACTAGTGCAAATTGACTCCTTGGGTGGTTTGGGAAGTGGTTTTTGTTGACGCGGCGAGTTGACTTGGTCTAAGTGTGCTAACGTGGCACCTAATCATCAAAGGAGTTGAAAACAGAACAGGGTCCTACATGTAAGTGACAACAGTAAAAAAGTATTAAAAAAGGTGAGGCCCATTTGTGATCCCCTTCTCTTCTTCCTCCCTTCTATTTCTCTCGCATCGCCCGTGACAACTGACAACAAGCATGGGTTGTGGGTGCGGGAGAGGATATTAGCGATGCGGCGGCAATTCTCCTTCCTCGTGGCGGTGAGGTTCTCGGCGGGATAAGGGATGCCCGTGTTGTCCGCAGCGGCAAAGCTGCAGAGGAAAAGAAACGGGGGCAGCTGTGCATGGGGAGGTGGCTGAGGAGCGGCATGGAAAGGACGGAGGATAGCGAGCTTGATGTCCTCTCTGCGGAATCCGACCTCGCCGAAGACCATGCTGACGTCGGGGTCGTTGAGGACAAGCCAGAAGAGCTCGCGCCGACTAGCCGCATGAGGTGGCGGTGGCAGGCCACCATGGCCGGGGTGGTAGTAGATCTTGTACTCCCCGAATGCCGCCACCGTCCTGCTCGCTCTGTGAGGAGGATCTACGTGTTTGAGTCGGTTTTTAAGCCCATTCACTTTTGAAAATACATATCCGTATTTGATTCGGTTTTTAAGTTCGTTCGGTTTTAAAAATACAGAAAGAGTTTTATAAGAAATCTCTTTAAACAAACTCACATGCTAACTTGAGATGATCGGACTCCTAATTACAGCTTATGATTTTGTAAAAAAAAAATCATTCACCCGTTGCAACGCACGGGCTTTTTTTCTAGTTATTACAAACTTGAAAAATGGATTAATTTTGTTGGAGAAAAAGAACGAGACCTAAATATCGAATTTTGGGATTGTGCCGCAACCGCAACCGCAACCACCGAGCAGCAAAGCCGCAGATCGACGACAGCTACCTGTTAACGACCAAATTTGGTAAGATATGAACCAGGTTCGGCATTGGAGTCGAAGCGGATTCGGCAAAGAGATGGATTCGAAGAACAGAGTATGAATCGGCTGCGAAGGCATCGGCTGGAGTGTGCGTCGGCTGAGATGGATTGGATAGAAGACAACCGATACAGCCGATAGAGATGAAGCAGCCGATTCCGACGGTAGTGGCTTCAAGGCTGTTTCTAGAATCAATCGACGTGCTTCACATGGATTGCCATGATGGAGATAAAGCTCTTACATAGGCAATTATATCTATTAATTAGGATATCTTATGTAATTTCCTTTGAGATATGTTTGGGCAAAAGTCTGCCGCAAAGACTTATGGTATCTTAGAGTTTGTTAGAGATAAGAGTCGTGTCCGGCAAGGACATATTTTGTATCTCGGGTATAAATATGACTCGAACCATGTAATCAAACAACACACGTTCAATAACAATTTCGGCGCATCGCCACCCTTTTATTCTATTTCGACGAGTTCTTGCTTTCGGATTGAGCTGCATCAATTCGATCTTCAACAGGTAAACTTGTCATGGCGGCTTGCGTTCTCGGGATTAGCGCTTCCATCTTTATGACACTCTAATCTTGTTTATGTAATTCCTCGAGTTATCATATATACTATATAATCTTTGTTAGTTTCGTTATATAACTTGTCATCGGCTGGTTTTTACTGTTAGAAAGTAGCCGATAGAGTTAAATCTCGTTATTGATCTAGATTATATCGTATATCTACCATCTCTCAGAGATTTTCATCATCTTGTTTAGATCTTACAGTTATTTTATATGCTTAATGTTGCATCGGTTGAGTTCGATCTATTAAGTTCTATCTATAATTGTGATATCTAGCTTGTTTTATGATCATTTATAGAGATAGTATCGGAGTTTCAGCCGATCTTACCTGATTTAGCTATTCTAATATCATATGCTTAATTGTTATGCTAAATCTGCCCTTTATATTAAGATCTTATTGCTTTAAAGTTATATTAAGTTCTTATTTGATATATCTTGCTTGTTTCGATATCTTAGTATAGAGTGGTATCGGAGTACTAGCCGATACATGCTAGATCTATCTGATCGACTATGCTATAAATATCCATACAATCTTTGCTTTAACGTATATTTCGACTTAAGTGATTCATACTGTCTCGGCATGACGACCGATCTATCCCAATCACTTAGATTAAGTATACATCGAAGTAAAAACTGTATGTTGTTAATATCTATAGCCGATCGAGTAGATTTAGTTTTATTTTATTTATTAATCATTGCCGATCGATTCCAACATGACATCGGCTCAAAGATAAATGATATGTCATCGGCAACTAGCCGATCGGCTATCGTTTATGGATTTAACCGCAATTTTTCTTGTCTTTATTCTTGTTGATTGCGGGATCAAATCAACTGGCACGCTTATGAACCTAAAGGTGAGATTTTGGACCTGCACAGGAGTTAAGGAGATCTTCCAGGCCAGTATGTGTTTTTCGCATCAACACTACCCTGTACTTAGATAACCTGTCCTTAGATAGATCAGGTGGGGCCTGAGCTTGCCAAGAGAGAAGAAGAAAGCAAAGAGAGGGGATGGGAGGAGATGAGACCTCGAATCGGATGTTCTTGAAGATGACCTCCTCGACATTGCTGCCGATGGTGGGGCGGTGGTGACGGCCTCCCCGAGGTGGAGCTTGTAGAGCGTGGTGGTCTTGCCGGCGTTGTCGAGCCCCATGACGACGATCTTGTACTCCTTACATCCACGCCCCCATCTCCCCCATCCTCCTCTCTGTCTCTCCTCCTCAAACAACCAAGAAAACACCGAATCTGAATCTTGCGCCACGGCGGCTGGTGGCTGGTGGTGGATGGATCTCCGCGGGAGGAAGTGGACTGCGAGTTTGGGGGATCGGATCGGCAATGGGGGTGAAGGAGGAAGAAGAGGAGGAGGAAAGGGAGAAGGGAATTGGGTGTGGATATTCATGCGAAGCTTCCTGTCATGGCCGACCGAGGGGGATTTGGCCTGGGCCTCCTTTGGGCTTGGGTTGTGGAAGTAGAGACATGGTGAGTGAGCCGCCGTCACTAAACTAAAATGGAATAAGTCCACTAATCGTCCCTAATCTTTACGTCTAGTTTAATCACATCCCTAAACCGCAATACGAATCTTCACCTTTCATCTTTTTCAAAACCGTTCGACTTAGGTCCGATACCAGTATGGATAGGTGTTTTTGTTGATGTTGTATCCTAGTTAGGAAAAAAACATGCGAGACTCACATGTAGTTGAGTCCATGTGTTAATCGGGCTCACATGTCAGGGTTTTCTTCTTCTCTCCTCTATTCCCATCTCTCTTCCCAGTCTCCACCTATCCCCTCTTTCCCCATCTCTCTCTAGGGAGGTGCAGGCGACGAATGCCCTGGGGGCGGGTGGGGGGGTGTTGGAGAGCTGCAGCGGCGAGGAGTTGCGCACCTGGCATGCATCACCACCAACTTATGCATGTGATGTGGTTTGGTTGCGCCGGCGAACTTCGCGGAGCTTCCTTCACCTACTTGCAAATGGCCTCCCCCTAACCGAACTGGATAGCTACGGAGCACGCCGATAATAACATTTGGGTTTCATGGCAAGTGGATGAAAGTAGGATATGATGCACAATTCGCTTCCCAGTCACCTTCCAAATACTCTGGATATTCATGACCTAATGAGCAATTGTATGTGCAGTGCAAGGAGCTGAGAACTAACTGCAACGCACAAATATATACACCTGAATGAACTCTACTATTGCAGGTGTTTCACACACAATTCTTAGAAATCGATAGATATAGATTCTTGGTTTCCTCCCAGTGCCAATGACGCCTCTTAATAATCTCTGCAATTTTCGTGTCAAGAAGCAGTACTACAACCCCAGGTGCTTGATCCCCGCCGTCTCTCTCCTCCTACTCGTCGTCATCCTCACCGTCTCTAATACATACTTCCCCTTCCCGACAACTAAGTCGCGAACACTGTCTTACTCTTCCTTCTCCTCCTCCCACGGTGGGCAGAAGGCCGCCGACGAGGCCTGCAACATATTTAGGGGAGAGTGGGTTCCGGATCCTGATGCACCTTACTACACCAACGACACCTGCTCGGTCATCCACGAGCACTATGACTGTATGAAGTACGGAAAGCCGGACCTTGGCTTCGTGCAGTGGCGGTGGCATCCCGACAGTTGTGATCTCCCCCGTCTCGACCCGGCGCGCTTCCTCTCCTCCATGAGGGGTAAGACCTTGGCCTTCATTGGGGATTCCCTTGCCAGGAACCACATGAACTCCCTCATCTGTCTACTGACCAGGGTAAAAAAGTGAAAAACGTGCCGGATTTGCTACAGTACTAGCTTCGATCTGACCCGTCGATCGCTTGATCGGACGGTCAGAAATGGGCCAGCAGCAACAAGGGTGTGACGTTTTGTTGGCCGGCCTGCAGGTCGCCGAGCCGACGACGAGCTGGCCGAGCAGCGAGCACACGGTGTACCACTACGGCGGCGGCTACAACTTCACCGTCCTCAGCTTCTGGGCGCCGTTCCTGGTCCGGAACGAGCTCATCGACACCGACAGGCCGGCGCACACGGGCCTATGGAACCTCTACCTCGACGAGCCCGACGCAGTGTGGGCGTCGCACGTCCCGGCGTTCGACTACGCCGTCGTGTCGGCGTCGAGCTGGTTCTACCGGCCGTCGATGCTGTACGAGGCCGGCCGGCTCGTGGGCTGCCACCACTGCCTCCTCCCCAACGTCACCGACCTCACGCTGCGGTACGCGCTCCGCATGGCCACCCGCGCCGCGCTCCGCGCCGTGGTGGGCGGCGGCGGCGGCGTGACCGCCGTGCTGCGGACCGTGTCGCCGTCGCAGTACGAGGGCGGGGAGTGGAACAAGGACGGCAACTGCGTCCGAACGCGGCCGTACCGGCGCGGCGAGAAGACGCTGCAGGGCGTCGAGCTCGACTTCCACACGCTGCAGGTCAATTTTTTGAATTTCCTCCATTGATCTAGTGATCAATTATCTTGTTCTTTCTAGGAACGTGCGTTCTGAGCTTCGTAGGTGGAGGAGTTCGAGGCGGCGAAGAGGGCGGTGACCGCGAGCGGTGGCAGCGGCGGCGCGGTGAGGATGATGCTGATGGACACGACGGAGGCGATGATAGTGCGGGCGGACGCGCACCCGAGCAGGTACAGGGGGTGGACGCGGCGCAAGGGATGGATGAAGGAGTACTTCACCATCTCCAACGACTGCGTGCACTGGTGCGTCCCCGGCGCCGTCGACGCCTGGAACGACATGCTCTCACACATGTTGCTCACATCGCAAAGCTAGTTAGGTTATTGATCAAACGAATGTAGCAGCCAAAAAAACAGAGAAAAAAACATTCATTCCTGAATTCAGTCTAGAATTTAAAAATCGTCGTCCATGATCCATGTGAATTTCTAGCACGTTTGCACAAGCTGAACTCAAACATTTTGGTCCTGTTTGCTGCATTCGCAAAGGGTAATTGTGATTCCGTCTGTATGGGCCTAAATCGACCTGAGGCCCAATATTGCCAAAAATTTCAGAACAAACTTCGTAATCGATTTGGATACTATATTGATATTTTGTGACAAATCTGGAAGAATTAGGAATAATCTAGCCGATTCAAAAGCAGTGGTTGAACTCAAGTTGGCTGATCTCGACATGCAGTCAAAAGATTATCAGACAGAAAGGGAGAGCTGCTGCTAGGTTAGCTCATACAGGTGGCCAGTGCCCCTGGTCTCAAACAATCACACCTGTTTAGCATTTTGATTCTTTCCATTTCGCCAAGACCTAGTAATAAACAGGTGGTTATCTCGTACTACACGCGTGGAATCCACCATCCCAAGTGTACACTTCATTTTAATTTCGTAATCAAATCAATATTCGTGACGAAAATTGCAGAAAAAAATTCGATGTATATACAGCAATCTCATTTCTCATCTCATTTCATATCCATGAGCTAAGCTAGCTATAGTGTGGATGTTGACCGCCCAGGTCGATGATGAAGTTTCACGAGGTGATCAAGCTGCCATCCATTGCTCATTACGGCCTACGCTATGTGCTCCCCGCCGCCGCCGTCGCCGCGTGCGTTCTGGTGCTCGCCGCCGTCAGCCTACCGGGCCGCGTGCCGCTGCCGCCGCTGCTGGCGCCGGAGGTGACGAAGAACACGGCGGATGGCGTGGGCGGCGACCGGTCTGGTTGTGATATTTTCAAGGGCGAGTGGGTGCCGGACATGTCCGGCGAGCCGCCGCCGTACACCGGCGAGAGCTGTCCGGTGATCCATGGGCACTATGATTGCATGCGGTACGGACGGCCGGATCTTGGGTACGTCCGGTGGCGGTGGCGGCCGGACGGCGGGTGCGAGATGCGGCGGTTCGACGCGGCGAGGTTCCTCGCCGCGATGAGGGGCAGGTCGGTGGCGTTCGTCGGGGACTCGCTGGCGAGGAACCAGATGCACTCGCTGGTGTGCCTCCTGTCGCGCGCCGAGCGGCCGGCGCCGTGGACGAACGGCAGCTACGCGTACCGCTTCGAGCGCCACGGCCTCACCGTCGCGGCGTTCTGGTCGCCGTTCCTCGTCCGCGCCGTCGAGACGGACCCCGACGGCCCGACGGGGAGCGGCGCCGGCCTGTGGAGCCTCCACCTCGACGAGCCCGACGCCGGGTGGGCGGCGCACGTCGGCGCGTTCGACCACGTCGTCGTCTCCGCCGGGAGCTGGTTCTACCGGCCGTCAATGTTCTACGACCGCCGCGGCCGCCTCGTCGGCTGCAACACCTGCCTGTCCCCGAACGTCACCGACCTCACCCTCCGTTACTCCCTCCGGATGGCGTTCCGGAGCGCGCTCCGGGCGGCGGCGACGGGGGGCGCGCGCCGCCGCGGCGGGCGCGCCGCGAGGAGGACGGTGATCGTGCGGACGATCTCGCCGTCGCACTACGAGAACGGGACGTGGAACGGGCACGGGGACTGCGTCCGGACGAGGCCGGCGCGGCGCGGCGAGTGGGAGCTGAACGCCATGGAGAAGGACATGCACCGGATACAGGTCGAGGAGTTCGCGGCGGCGGCGAGGAAGAGGGGGAAAGGGGCGGCGAGGATGATGCTGATGGACGCGACGGAGGCCATGGCGCAGCGGCCGGACGCCCACCCGAGCAAGTACAGGCTGTGGCAGCCGGACAAGTTCAAGGTGTCGCGGGACTGCGTGCACTGGTGCCTTCCCGGCGCCATGGACGCCTGCAACGACATGCTGTTCCACATGCTCATCGGGTGATGGCTGATGCCGTTCTTCTCATTATGGCTGGTCGATGATTATGTGCGGTTTATTCGCGCCACGATTTTAAATGTACGATTCGTTTCTTTTTCAAAAAAAAAACAGCATTGTTTAAATTGCTTGGGAGCCTACTATATGGATCGGATGTCTTATTTTTTTTTAAAAAAAAAATCGTTGGACAGTATTGCACCGCACTGTTGAAAAATGTTTCATCTCTCGATAAAATTGTTTCAATGAAAATGTTCTAAATGTTTCAGATATATAAGAGAAAAATAGTTCTACGCTTGAGCATAATTGTTTCAACTAAGTACTCTATTCAAACATATCAATTGCAACACTAAGAAATCAATGTATGTAATGTTGAATCAAAATGGAATGAAACATCTTAATAAAGTGTAACAAAAAAAACACAAATAAGCTGCAACATCACTAAAATTCCCAACAAAACCCACCTCTGACTTCTATTCCAGCCACCAGAACCAAGTTCCCGGATCGACGGAGTCGAGAAAATACACTACTTGTAAGATGATTCTATAAGGTGGACAATGAAAATGACATGTGTTTTCCTCCTTGTGAAGTGTAGATATACCAGGAGAATTTGGGGGGCCATTGCGGACTGGGTCGCTTGCCGCAATCTAAACCCCGTGCAATGGAACCAAGCCACTACAGTGGAGGACTGGTGTTAGATGATCACAAGCACGAGAGAGGCGCCAAAGCAAGCTGCACATACCCTAACTCTTTTGATCAACTGAGAGAAACCAACATATCTCCTAGCATAGGGAGATGTCGTCAAGCGGGCTTATCTTTAAAATTAAGGAGGTACCCAAGACGTCGCGTGTCGACGCCAACTGCCTCCCTAGACAGATATGGGGAAAGAGGGGAGAGGTAGATACTGGAGAGAGATGGGAATACATGAGTGGAGGGGGGAGATAGGAGGTAGAAGAAAGCCACCAAGAAACCAAGGAATCAGAGCAAGGCAAGAAAAAGACACCATCGACACTAGCCATCGTCGCCGCGACATCAAAGGGGGGGGTACTCACAAGGGGGCGCCAGAGCTGACGGGCAGCGGTGGGGGCAGTGTTGGCCCCTGGTTTTATAGCACAGGAGACCATATATATGTGTACATAATAACAATTCCATGGACCGATAGATTGACATACACACAATACATATCTGGTGCATCACATTCTGCATAGCATAAGTCTTACAATATTTAATATTACATGGGTTACTCGAATAGACCGAGTATGGTTGATTACATTAACCAAGATCCAAAAGATACGGTACGGAAGTGGAAGCTGATCTGCGAGTGAATGAAATTGAATTTGGTCGCATAACATGTATATTTTCATCAAAAATCTCCTGCATACAAATATTTACCAACACTTGTGATAATGGTTAGCAATAAACGCCTATCGCTAAGTTTGGTTTTTCATTTTATTTAGTTTTTTGCAGGAGTTGGTGGTCAAATTTAGCACTTAAGAATCGTCAACAACGTCATTGTCATGTAGGTGCCACATCAGCCGAAACCGTAGTCCAAACCGTCTTAGGATCTTATTTGCACTAGACGCGTCATATCTAGTATTGCGGCTCAGGGACGAAATTCGGACTCGGCGACAAATTGAGGGACCTAAAATTACTTGCTAAGTTTGGGGCCAGAAATATCCCGGCCTAGCTAGCTATCTGTTGCTCTTCTTTCAATGATATCGCATGTTTCATGTCTTCTCGATCTTCATCGAGAATGACCAAGAGAGCACGACATCGTTGACCGTGAAGTCTCGGTACGAGAACGAGTACTCATTTTGAGTTGAAGTCGGGGGCTACTGTCATGGTTACGGATAAAGCATACCTTCTATCCTACAACTTATGAAATATACGGATACGATATACCTTCTATCCTACGACTTATGGAATATACGGATGCGGCATACCTTCGTATGTACGATAGACTTCCGTATACGATAAGAAAATTGACAAGAGATTATGGAAATAATCCTCACGGGCAAGTACGTAACAGAGTTCTACTCAGAGAGGGTTAGGATTATACTATATCGTGCAGGGTCTGGGGTCTCCAAGTTCTACTTAGAGACTAAGGGGATTCACGGTATAAATACATACCCCCCGAGAGGTCCATGGGATCGAATCATAGCACCAGCCAACCTGCCACCACAGGAGCAATCCAGAGGACTTGAAGCCTACTCGCTTGTAGATCTCGTCGAGACTCTCTCAACAAGGATCTCGCCGGTAATCTCGGAATCAGTTGTTCTCTATTGTACTATGTGGATTTCTATATCAATCTCATATAAGCTGGATTAGTGTTATTACCTCACGAGGGGCCTGAACCAGTATAATACTTATCTCCTTGTCTGCTTGATGTCGAATCGTGTAGATCCTCGTATCAACGTTCCCCAATACCCATATTATCCGGTTTACGGGTATCCCCCGTTGACACCTTCTGTTGACAGAAAATCCATCCCAAATCATATAAATTTTGGATCACTGGATGTGCTTCGCAATTTGTGCTCCAGTGCTTCTTCTTCAACTCTGGCGAGTTCCTATTCTTCTTCAACGCCGGTGACAACCTAAACTCGGTTAGAGGACCAACAGATTAGGGTCCTAGGTTGGGGTGGGGTGTGAGGGGTAGGAGAGGGAGGGGGAAGAAGGGAAATGTTGTTGGGCTAAGTGAGATGGCCGTGGGAGGCGGCGGCCTGGAGTGGGTAGCAAGGCGGCACCGGCACTTTCGAAGGCACGGGGTTGGTAGCTGGCTATAGGCCAGTATTGGTGGCAAGGGCAAAGCGAAGCAACAAGTTAGGAGGTAATGAGCGGTGGAAGCGAATCCATTGACGGGGAGTTGCTGGAGACGAGGAAGACGGCGGGGTAGAGGTACCTCGCAGCCACTGAATTGAGAACGAGTAGAAGGGGGGGAGGGGAGGGGGGGAAGAAGGAGGAGGAGGCCGGCCAGGGGGAGGGTGGGACCTTGTTGGTGCCACTGACGCCTTCTGGGCAGCCGGCGAGGCCAGGTGGTGGTGGAAGTGGTGGAGTTGAGAGGCATCAAGCATCAAACATGCGGTGTTTGAGGGGAGAAAGAAAAAGAGAAAGAAGGTAGGCTTAGGTTTCTGCACGGATCTTAAAGCGATCCAACGATCCAAAAATTGCAAGATTTTGATGGGTGTTTAATGTCGAATGTGTAACAGATAGTAAAAAAATTAATGATCAAATTTAAATTTTAGCTGCGGTTGATAAGGTAACGAGTAGTAAATGGAACAAATATTACTCATCTCCCGTCTTTGCAACATAAAGTAATATCTATCCCGTCTTGTTAGTAGAGATATGAATCAATGTTTGAACTTTTGGTTTGAAATTAATTTCCAATATTTCATGAATTTTGAACCCCCTGCACGAAACTATTTCGTCCAAAATTTCCAATTTCTTTTGAATTTATTCAAACTTTGTTAAATACAGTCAAAATTAGTTCAAATTTAATAAAACTTTTGCTCAAAATTTCCTCCCGGCGTAAGTATACAAAACGAAAATTGCAAAGCCTGAAAGAGGTCTAATCGAGTGGCCGATGGCATGCATGGTGTTGGTAGGATTAGTCCCATATGGAGAATTCAGGTAAGTTGCGATCAATATTTAAACACATATGTTTTTGGACTAATTATTTTGGTGTACTGTAGTAGGAAAAAAAGAATATATGCTTTTGGACTAATTTTTTTTGGTGTACTGTAGTAGGAAAAAAAGAAGGGGAGGAGGAAGGGGGAGAAGAGGGAGGAGGTATTGCATATTGGGGGGAGGGGAATGCGGGGTGATCGCTTGGCGCGCATTAGCAGTCCCCCCTTCCCTTCCGCTATTTCAAAGTATCCGTCTTCCTCCCTGTCCACATGAGCTAAACGCTTCCTCTTCCCTGAGTCAAAGTCTTCCCTATATTACTACTTTGTATTATAGCTGGGTTCACTATGTTGCATCATCTCACAGCTAACCCGAACATCACTAACATCGCAATATTCTCCTTCCGCGCCCTTCACATCAGCTACTTCCACCACCTCCCATGTTTCAAAGGTAAATTCGTCGTGGTGGTGAGATTATGCCTTCCTTCCGCCTCACTAACATCAGCTACTATAAAAGCCCTTCCTTGTTGCATCATCTCAAGGAGCTGCAAGCACTTCCTCTCTGGCAGCACTTCCTCATCTCAAGGAGTTGCAAATGTTGCATCATCTCAAGGAGCTGGCAGCCGTAGCCGGTATACACATGATCCTCATCTACCTCTGCCGCTTTCTCCTCCGCCGCAGCCGCAACGTATTATTCACCGTTTCCAACAGCCTCCGTTTTCGCCTCAAGGTATTAACTGTATTGTTGTACATATGTCTCTCGGTCATGCTGTTCTACCTGTTTGGCTCCATCATGCCGCTGCCGCCGTGGGGCCTCGTGGTCGGTTGGGTCATGGCCCTCATCGCCGTCGAGCTCGCCTACGCCTTCATCTTTCCATATAGCTTTCGCTACATCGCTGACAACGACGACGACAAGATGGTTATTCTCCCTGTTTAAGCCTTCAGGGCCTATATATATAGTATATATATAAAGCCTTCCATACTGTCTCTTCAATAAAGGCTAGCTTGTGTTGTGAGTTGTATCTGTGTACGTATTTTGTTTGGTTGGTTATATATTGTCACGTAGGTATGCCATATATATATGTATTGCTGTATTTATATTTGTTACTATCTTTTGTTTTTCAGATAATAAAATTCAGCCAGCTTTGCTTGCTTCGTCGTACGTGTATGCTCATCATATCCTCATCCATCAGCTGCTCATAGCTAGCTGGGCCGTGTTATATGTGTGTAGTGACCAGTCACAACCATGTATTTCATCCCATGTATGTTAGTTTGTTTTTCATTTTTGAAAGAAAACATGCATATATGTTATAACTCAAAGTTTTGAGATGAATTTGATCATCTAATTTATTTCTGTTTTGAATTATTCTGCTCTGTTGTTGCAAACTTTTTTTTTTATGTTGGGACACTTTCTCCTCGGTTTGATTGTTATATTGAATTCGTCGATTCCAGCTAGTATATATTTGCTAGTTTCACTCAGACAATCATGCCTATTTGCTGATCAGGAACAATTGAAAACAACCATTACAGAGCCAGACGAAATTAATTAATTTACACTCACCAATTATTCATCATCACATCTCTAAACATCGAATTCTGGGATTCCATCGTTCGTCCCCTTCCCGCAGCCGTCGGATCGCGGATCGACGGTGACAGATCGCTTCGTTGAACGTTTTTGTAATATACCATTTCTTGAGGGGGGTTTATGCAAAATATCTCTATCCCTTACCTCCTCCTACCTCGCCGGCGTGACGCTCTCCTCCCTCACTCCCATCCGCCGCCGGCGAGGCCCTCTTCGCCGCCGTGTCCTCCTCGTCGTCGCTGTATGGGGCGAGGCCGCGGCCAGCGAGGGGCTCGGTGGCGGCGCGGGGGGATGGGGGAGCAGCTCGGCGTACGTCGGCGACGAGATTCGAGTCAACGACGCCGCGCCGCCTCTCCCCTCAAATCTCGGTAGACGAGTATATATGAGGATTGAGAGGTTCCGATCACGGCGACGGAACGAACCCCTCCCTTGTTCGCCATCGATGGCTTCCTCGACGACAGACAGGGCCTCCGGCCTCCCACTCTCCCAGGTTTGCATTATTCCCATCCCTCTGCCGTCCGTACAGACCGTGTGAGTTCGGGTTGAAGCTAAGCTTCCTCCAATTCTGCGTGCTCTTGCACGAATCCTACGAATTCCAGAACCTCTTTGCTCAAATCCAAGGCTTAAGGCCTTTTTTTGTTAGAATTAAACCTGTATTTCCTTATAATATTAGTTCTGTTTATTCCTGTACAGAGGCAAGAAAGCTCACCAGAGAAGCAAGCAGACAAGCTACCAATTCTGAGGTGAGTACTTACTCATCTGCGTGTTCTTAATTGAACTGAAAAGTGCATCTAGATGTGGGTTTTTTTTTTCTGAATTCAGTTAATTTAACAAGGTTTCCATATCTGACATGATGCAAATTTTGCTCAATGCTTTCCAGGTATAATTTGTAGATTAATGACCTGTTGGATCCATTTCAGCATAACCTTTAGGTATATTCTAATCCTGTATTTGGTGTTTGCTAATGGATTGCAGTAAACTTTTCCAACTCCATTATTATAGATAAGAGAGAATGCTTGCAATGGTGTACATGTTGAGAACTTGATCGATGAGTATGTGTCAACGGTTGAGGACGTCAATGAAATCTTGATGAAGCTATAATTTTGATCTACAAGAGCAGCAGAAAGAAATTGTCCTTTCTATTTTGCTTTTAAAACTAGGGTTTCTTTGCTTTTCATTTTCACCTCTGCATGGATGAGGATCACAACCAGGACCTCTGCTTGAGCTACCCTGTAGTCACAAAGACCTTTGTCTTGATAACAAGCTGTATTTTTGTTAAGATCACATATATTAGTTCTTGTATCATGCTCTCTCAATACTAGTTGTTTCATGTTGTCCTAATAACTGAGTCACTGCCTTCTCCTCTAAGAGATTAAAATCTGAATTGAAGTCTACCATTGCTCCAGCGTTATTGATAGCTTGTCTAAGCTTGTTTTTCTTTACAGGGCCTTTCAAACAGAAAAGTTGGCACCACCAGTATGAACTTGAAAAGGTTGTTCTCATGTAATATTCACTTGTGTCATTGAAGAATGGAGCAAGGTAAATTAAACCTCCTATTTCTTCTGTTGTTTGGAGACCTCATAACCAGCTATATTTAACTTCTCGTATTGCAATAATTATGTCAGTATTAGAGCATTTAAAAGATCAATATGCTTTTTGGTCTATTCTATTCTATTTTTTAAGTTTCCACTAACTGATCCGCAAATATACATGCTGTCATTATCTTGTGAATTTACCTTGTTCAACCAAATTACAGGGTTGCTCATCAAATGGCTTCAACAGCTCACGGACTAGCAGAATTACCTTTGTTGATCTTGCTGGTCCTGATAATGATGAACTTGATGGTGGCAGCAAGCACTGTACAAGAGAAGAAAGATAAGAAGCCCCTGTCAAAAGCTTGGGTATGTAAATTTATACGATGGCTTGTTTGGGCAGAAATTTTTATGATGTCATGAAAATTCATCACTAAAATATCTTCTATGTTTATTTTTCATGTTAATCGGGTTCTCTTTCTTAATATGTTAACACTACAGTTAACTGCTTTCTTTAGAGAAATATATTAAACATCTAGCAATAAGAATAAAAATATGCAGTAAAGCAGAAAACTGACTTCCACATTGTTACTTCAGGAAACTCATCAATATTCTATCAGAAGCACCAGAGACCAAGAAAGATGACTCCCCACAAGTAATCCTGTTTGACGCGTGAGCTGACGAATACACTAGGTGTTGCATTCTTAGAGCATCTTCAGTAATAGCTCCTATTTTACAGTCCCTAAAAGTACAATAGGGGCTTCCCCCATTTCCTGAGTACCTAAAAAATACCTTTAACTCCAGCAGCAGTCCCTTTTCTCACCCCTTATTTCATTTCATCTTCTATTTTAACATATACTTTAAAGTACTAATATATAGTTCTATACTCTACGCTACTCCTAGTATGAAACCATAATAATCCAACCATATTTAAATTCACAATTCAAAACATCACAATTCAAATTCGATTTTTTTTAAAAAAAATAAAATGGAAATACATATCCTAGTAGCCTGTATTCATAGCTCGGGTGAAACGAGCTTCTGCTGCTATCGCGCTTCCATGGAGTTTCTCACATGTGTTGATTTTTCCTGTCTTCTCATCCACCAATAGACCTGCTACTTCTCTCGCGAAGCAACAACCAAGCAAAGCAACAAAAAAGCTGCATAGCACATCGCATGTATCACTTTCCCCATCTAAAAAAAATGTAAAATTCCATTATCTAAAAAAATGTATCACTTTCCCCATTCTTCTTTTGTCCCACAATCGCAGCTGCTAGTGCTACCCTGCTACTACTGTCTCAATTTCGCAGCCCGCAGCAGCACTTGAACCATCCAGTGCCTTGACGCCATTGCATGACTCGGTCACTAGGCCATGTTTTTCATCGAGTTCAGGCGGAGGGTGCAGGCTGGAGGAGACTCCAGGCACGGCAAACGCGTCGGCCGGGGAGGAGCGTCGGGCAGAGGAGGGCACCTGAAGGAGGACACGGTAGGCAGGGAGGAGCCGCACCGGCCGGGGATGAGCACTGGGCAGGGGAAGTGCCGGCGGACCAAGACCACGTCAGGCGGCTCCCGCGCTTTTCCAACCGTGGATGGGGGCTGTGCAGTAGAGCCCCTGGGACTGTGGGGGCTTGGAAAGGTTATTTGGGTGCCCACCTAATTTAGGATCCTTGATAGGGGCTCTGCTGGATTGAATTTTTTAGCCTCAACACTGGGGCTATATTCAGGGTCCCTGCTGGAGATGCTCTTATGTTCCATTTCTTCAGCAGGTATTTTCTGTTTATGACCTTATGTACTTCATTATGCCATATACGACGACGAGGAGATGCATGCCCCTGTTTAAGCTTTGAGGGTTGGGGCCTATAAGTTTGGGGGCCCCAAAATATCCCGGCCTAGTTAGTGGCCTGTCACGGTAGATGGGCTGGGCCGGGAAATTAAAGCCTCCCATACTTGTGAGTTGGCTTGTGATTTTTTTTTTTTGAGAACTTGCGAGTTGTATTTGTGTATTTGTTTGTTTGGTTAATATTGTCACGTAGGTATGCCATATACATGTAGCGGTGTATTCACTGGTGGAGAAAGCGTTTGTAGTCCCGGTTCGTAACCCTCCTTTAGTCCCGGTTTCCAAACCGGGACTACCAATCCAGGACTAAAGATCGCTATCTTTAGTCCCAGGTGAAATAACCGGGATCTTTAGTCCCGTTTGGTAACACCAACCGGGAGTAAAGATGGCTTGGTGTTACCAACCGGGACTAAAGATCAAGCTGACATTTTTTTTTTTGCATGGCCCTGTTGCTGCATGGTTTATATATATATATAAACCATGCATATATATGTTTCAATACATATGTACATGCATAATATATATGTATTTATACATATATATGTTATGCAAATATATATATATATATATATATATATATATATATATATATATATATATATATATATGACCAAAATATATTTACATTATAGAAAATGTGTACACATGCATATAGAAACATATGTAGTCATGTATTAATTACAATCCATTATATGTCCTAGCTAGCTACGATTTCGACGTAGTAGTAGTCGCTAGCTCAGAAGCTAAGGACCTATGAATTGTATTTCCGTCGTAGTAGAATTCACCCTTGGGATCAAGGATTTGTTCGTTGATGAATTCCATAAGTTGTTCTTGAACCGCCGTGATAAATTCCTTGTGTGTGGTCAGGTTATCCCTCATGCGAATAAACTATATGAATGTATGAAATTGATTAGTAATTAAACAACAAATCGATACGTAATGAAATTTTGAATTTATTTGTACGTACATCGAGCTCTCTTGTGGTGATGATTTGGTCTGCAAGGCAGTGGCAATACTCGCACACGTAGTAGCCGCACAAGTTAGTTCCCTGCTTTTGCTTTGCGCACTACAAATAAATGACAAACGACGAGAGATCTAATTAATATACACTTGTATGTATTTGAATCGGAGAAATATAAATGTAGAGCATGTGTACTCACAGGAAATTTGAACTTCCGCCTAAGTCTTTCTCTCCAGTTGCCGCGGACCAAATGACGGAACCGATACCAAGCCCTACATGGAGTTTAAAGCTATGATTCGTAGTAGCAATTAACATAACAAGATTTTCTTAATTAACAGAGGAACTTATGACAGTACCTGTCTATAAGTTCGAAAACCTTGTCAAACGTAGACTCTTTTTTATCCATTGAGTCATATACGTTGACGGTGTAGGCCGCCAGGTCGAAGAGTAAAAGCACCCAGTGGAATCTGCAATGTGCGTGGGATGCATTACATATGAAACTCTTAGCAAGTTCGTACGGGAATGAAATTTGGTATAGGAAGACAGTAAAATTAAACTAACTATGTGTTGTACGGCAACAGTATGAACGTCTTGTAATGCTGCGCCTTCAGGAGATGGACGAGATTGTCCACTGTGGCTTGCGGATATTGGTCGAGCATTGCGACGTTTACTTTCCGAGGGTCGATGAATCCAGTATCGAAAACCCCCTGCCGTCGGGCCCTTTGAATCTCCATTCTACAACGATAAAAGGGAGTATATATTATATATAGTCTACTTATATACAAGGACCTAATTAATTAAAGGAGACGTAGTAAGAAATCTAACTGAACGATATACTTACAAAATCCAGCAACTCATAATAGAGACGTCGAGGGCATCCAGCTGGTATAGTTCGTAGATTCCCTTGAAATTGATCCAGAGAATGTCATCTCCTTGCAAGAAGTCCGTGTCCCTGATCCTCGCTCCGATCATCTCTCTACCAATGGCGCTCATCTCCATGTACAGATGATGGAACTTGTACATTTGTGTGGGTAGGGACTGCGGCAGCTCAGGCTTGACAAGCGGTTTACCGAGTTCGTACATGTATTTCACTTCCTCCTTTTCGATTGGTGCGACTCCTAGCAATTGATCTGTAGTTAGGCCGGTGTCATTAATAAATTCTTCCATTCCAATATCTTCACCGGTCACCAACGGCTCGATCTCCTGGTTTGGTTGCTCTCCAAGCTGAGGGACTGGTTTGGACTTTCCAGAAGATGCTTTCTTCAGCGTTCGCTCATAGTCCGATAGCTTTATGGCCTCCTTGGCAGGTGCAGACATACCCCTGAAGAAGTTCCTGACACTCGGGTCTATAGGAATCTTCTTTTCTGGACTTCGATGCTTGAATTGTCTCTTGACTTCTGATGCCATGTAAGCGTCAAGCTCCTCTTGCGTGCAATCGTACCCCGGGTCCTTGTTCTTGGCGGCATCAACTTTCGTCTTCTTCGTTGCCCTTGTGTGGGCAGGCGGTGGAGCTTGGGGGGCCGTTGACTTTGAAGGTGCCGGAAGAGGAGCCTGAGGAGGAGTCGGTGCAGGAGCCTGAGGAGGAGTCGGTGCAGGAGCCTGAGGTGGAGACGGTGCTGGAGCATGAGGAGGAGACGGTGCAGGATCCTGAGGAGGAGATGGCGGAGCCGGAGGAGATGGTGCACGAGACGCCGCTTGTCGCCCAGGGAGGATGATGTACCGCTTGCGCCATAGAATAATGGCATGGCTTGTGTCTCGTAGATGCGTCTCACCGTCTCCTCCAGGGTAATCCAGCTCGAGGTCCTCATACGCGCCTTCGACCAACTCAACTTTGACCTTGGAGTATCCTGCTGGAATCGGCCTGCAGTGGTAAGTATCTGAAGGGTCCGTTGGGATGGATGCCCGACGCCACCTTCATGTAGTGAGAGGTTATTTATTAGTAATCAACATATATAAGCAGCAACTAGCGGAATGGCCAAATCTAAAATATATAAACTACGAGCTTACCTTTATTGATAAGTTCTTGAAAGGAATATGCAGCTCACATGGTGTCCGCTGAGTGATGTCATCAACGGGGCAGGTGGATTCGTCCTGGGTTTGCATGGCGTCCATGCTATGTGATCCTACCTGCCCCGTTGAGGCGCAGCTGCTACAGTTTCCTGACGGGCTCACCATTGCAAGAGGAATGGTCGGCTGGGGATCATGGGACCGATGTGCGGCCATGCGTTCATCAACCTTCCTTGCCACCTCCTCTTGCATGCTGAGCTCGTAGCTCGATACCCTGAACTCTAGATCTGCAATCTTCGCCTCGGTATCTCTCTTGCTCCTCATCCGACTCCTGTACGTGTGGATGTCCTCCTTGAACCCAATCTTCCAAGGAATCACCCCTTTCCCTCGTGTTCGTCCTGGATGCTCTGGAGTCTGCAGGGCGAGTGACAAATCGTCCCTCTCTCTGTCTGGTCGGAACGTGCCCTGAGAAGAGGCTTCCACTGCGTCTGTTAGTCGACGCGCAGAGCATATCTGATCGCCGAAGACCAGTGAGCCATCAGCTGGGTTGAGCGTTCCACCGTGAGCATAGTACCAGAACTTCGATCGTTCCGGCCAATTAGCGGTGGCCGGTTCGATACCCCTCTCAAGTAAGCTAGCCTCCATCTCCTCCCACTTCGGCATCGCGACGCTATAGCCGCCTAACCCCAAGTGGTGATGGTACTTCTTCTTGGCGGCATTTTCTTTGTTTCTTTCCATCATCGCCTGCCCTTGTTCACCTGTCTTATATGCAACGAACTCGTCCCAGTGATCCCTTAGCTTTGGGAATGTGTCGAAGTTCAGTGTCTGCCCCTTTAGGATATATTTCTGGTACAGATCTCCCTTGAAGCTCTGAAACTGTTCTGCCATTTTCTTCAGAGTCCACCTTTTCACTTTGTCCTCTGTACCCGCGGGAAGGGTGAATATCTCGAGCATTGTGGTCCACAGCATCTCTTTCTCCGAATCTGGGACAAAGCTCTCATGATCTCCGCGTGCCCTTGTTCTGCGCCAGTACACCATACTGACAGGCACGTTATCCCGCACAACCCAACCGCTGTGACGTACATAGTTCTTGGCGGCTTCTGCCGGGGCACTAGGTCGTTCGTCTTCGTCCACTTCCGTTATGATGTGCCGACCCTCAAGCTTCTTCGCGGCACCTCGTTGCCCGCATGCCCTCTTCTGTCCAACGGAGGGTTGACTTCCACTAGCCTCCTCCTCCTGGTTCCACTCCACATCCCTTTCCACGTGCCCCTCCTGGTTCCCCTCCGCATCCCTCTCCACGTTCCCTTCCTCGTTGAAATACTGGTTTGGATCCTCGTTCCCCTCTTCTTCGTTCCAGTACTGGCTGCTTCCCTCCGCAATTGTATCATACAATATATGTTCCTCATCGCGATCAGCCATCTGTTCATACAGGAAACATCTGCTAAGTC